ACAGCAGAGATATTATACAGAGAAAGATCCATTCCTATCCAGCTGTTGAATGGACAGAGTGACACAGTGGAGGGTCACTCTTTGCATAGGACACAATGTGTAATACACTTTTAAAAAAGTGTGACTCCTGACATTCCAACCAGGGCAAAACAGGGGACATGTCAGCCTGTGAATGGGACGTCAGATATGCCCGTCAGGAGAGCAAAGTGCCCTGTGCAGAAAATATATGTCTGCGGCTTTCTTCTATTGAACTTACTGCATCAGATGTGCAGTATCCTTTTTGTACATTTGGGGCTGGGCAGGAGACATAGGAGAAAAGCTGACCACAGCTGATACAGGCATGCTGTGCGTAGGCACAGTGTTCTGTAACTCCAAGACCAGATACACAAACTTACCATCAGCATGGCTCTGCTTCTCTGGGTGGCACAGCCAGATTTAAAGAGGAAGCAACGTGAACTACTAGTATCAGCAGTTATTTTAAAAGAAAAAAATACATAATAAATTAAAATATTTAAAAAAAATAACAGGCTAGATTCATCAACATCTGTATGGATTCACAAACACACAAAACACATATATGTTAATGTTTCGGATAATATACACTTTTAGTAAACTGCATACGAGACATGATGCCAGACATACTGTAAAATAGACTGGGTCGCATACATCTCAATTTAAAAGAGTGCTGTACCATCTTTGCTTGGGCAAAGTAAATTATATCATGGCCTTAACCTTGTCAGAACGTATTAAAAAAAAAATAATTATATTATATATATATATATATATATATATATATACAGTCATGGCCGAAATTGTTGGCACCCTTGATATTTTTCCTGAAAATCAAGTATTTCACACAAAAAAGGTATTGCATTAACACATGTTTTGCTATACACATGTTTATTCCCTTTGTATGTATTGGAACAAATATAAAACAGAGGCAGAAAAGCAAATATGACATAATGTCACACAAAACCCCAAAAATGGGCTGGACAAAAGTATTGGCACCCTTAACTTAATATTTGGTTGCACACCCTTTGGAAAACATAACTGAAATCAGTCGCTTCCTATAACCATCAATAAGCTTCTGACACCTCTCACCCGGAATTTTGGACCACTCTTCCTTTGCAAACAGCTCCAGGTCTCTCTTATTGGAAGGACACCTTTTCCCAACAGCAATTTTAAGATCTCTCCACAGGTGTTCAATGGGATTTAGATCTGGGCTCATTGCTGGCCACTTCAGAACTCTCCAGCGCTTCTTTGCCATCCATTTCTGAGTGCTTTTTGACGTATGTTTGGGGTCATTGTCCTGCTGGAAGACCCAGGATCTTGGACGCAAACCCAGCTTTCTGACACTGGGCCCTACAGTGCGACCCAAAATCCTTTGGTAATCCTCAGATTTCATGATGCCTTGCACACAGTCAAGGCACCCAGTGCCAGAGGCAGCAAAACAACCCCAAAACATCATTGAACCTCCACCATATTTTACCGTAGGTACTGTGTTTTGTTCTTTGTAGGCCTCATTCCGTTTTCGGTAAACAGTAGAATGATGTGCTTTACCGAAAAGCTCTATCTTGGTCTCATCTGTCCACAAGACGTTTTCCCAGAAGGCTTTTGGCTTACTCAAGTACATTTTGGCAAACTGTAGTCTTGCTTTTTTATGTCTCTGTGTCAGCAGTGGGGTCCTCCTGGGTCTCCTGCCATAGCGTTTCATTTCATTTAAATGTCGACGGATAGTTCGCGCTGACACTGATGCTCCCTGAGCCTGCAGGACAGCTTGAATGTCTTTGGAACATGTTTGGGGCTGCTTATCCACCATCCGGACTATTCTGCGTTGCAATCTTTCATCAATTTTCCTCATCCGTCCACGACCAGGGAGATTAGCTACAGTGCCATGGGTTGCAAACTTCTTGATAATGTTGCGCACTGTGGACAAAGGCAAATCTAGTTCTCTGGAGATGGACTTGTAACCTTGAGATTGTTGATATTTTGCCACAATTTTGGTTCTCAGGTCCTCAGACAGTTCTCGTCTCCTCTTTCTGTTGTCCATGCTTAGTGTGGCACAGACAGACACACAATGCAAAGGTTAAGTGAACGTCTCTCCTTTTTATCTGCTTTCAGGTGTGATTTCTATATTGCCCACACCTGTTACTTGCCCCAGGTGAGTTTACAGGAGCATCACATGCTTGTAACATTCTTATTTATCCGCAGTTGTGAAAGGGTGCCAATACTTTTGTCCAGCCCATTTTTGGAGGTTTGTGTGACATTATGTCGAATTTGCTTTCTTTCCTCCCTTTTTTTGTTTTGTCCCAATACACACAAAGGGAATAAACATGTGTATAGCAAAACATGTGTTAATGCAATACGTTTCGTGAGAAATACATGATTTCCTGGAGAAATATCAAGGGTGCCAACAATTTCGGCCATGACTGTATATATATATATATAAATGTTGCATTTATCTGGTTGGTTAGCTAATACATATGTACACAGTACTGCCTCTTTTAAATGGCAGCACTGAAATGATAAATGAATTATTGTATATTGTTTGAATCTACTCAGGTTCACTGTTGTATTAACGGCGGGTACTAACGACGACTAAAAATGCCTTTAAACAAGAAATATTGCAATCTGTAATAAATTACTTCCACCTAGAATCCTTGGTGTCACACAAGTCCCTTTGGGACCTTGATAACTCTTGTACTTGGAATTATTTTTCCTGTTTTTAGCCACAAAGGTACAGCATAAGAATGTAATATTGATGCAGTGCAAGTGTGAGCAGACATCACAGCTGGCACAGCTATTAAATTTTCTTCATCAATGCATTTGCTGCAGAATCCATCCTACACTACTTCAGATACATCCCAAAGCAACTGCAGGGTAACTAGTAATAAAAGTTGTACCATCATGCTTTTGTTTTTTTTTAACACAGAAGATACAATTTCAGAAGCACCATTTTGCATGAAGCACTTGGTCCCACTACTTTCTGACCATACTGCTAGCAATGAGCAAGCAATGTGAGTGACAGCACTGGTTTCTAGCAGAAGTTACAACTCTTTAGACCAGCACTGCCATTCACAACAGATCAGGCAGCGTTGTGTGCATCTGCGACTGCTTGTAAATATTCACAGCCATGTCATATAGCGCTGCGAGGTTGTGTTATTTAAGTGATCTTTTACTATTATAAAGGAACAGGTGGCTATGTCAAACACTGCACCAACCCAAACAGTGCTGACTGTTAATTCATAATAGTAAAAGAATGCTTAGTGTGTCGGGGCTGTGGGATTTTTCTACTGGGGCTGTGAATGTTTACAAGCATCTACAGATAGATCACACAGCCCAGCAGTGAAAAATTACCTTTACTACTATAACAAGCAGACCTGTCAGGGCTCTATGATAAAGCTGCAACGCTCTGTATATATACTAGCAGCCAGCAGCTCTATCACACAGCCCTGCAGCATTGATTAAAGCATTTGTAAGGGTAATTGTGTGCCCCCGAAGCAAGGCACTTTTTATGGGGGCACACCTGCGGCCTTGATTCCAAGCCAGGTTGTGTGCATCTATTGACACACTGCGGCTCAGCCTCACCACCTGCTCAAAGGATTTGACTGACAGCAGCAGAGCCAATGGCAGGGAAAGCATTAAGATAAAATATGTCCAGACTTTAAAAACACTTTAATTATTTGTAATAGTATAAAACAATCAAATTAGACAGGGGAAAGTGCATGCGTGTGTGTGGGGGGCATAAAGTGTTACTGAACTCAGGACCCTGCATTCACTATATCTGATGTCCCACAGTACACAGAACACGAAAATGCAATTATTTTAGGAACTAGAAACTGCTAAATACCTTTTCTCTTCAGCAGTATATAGCAGTCATGTGACTTCTATCAGTTTCCAGCTGAGCACTGGTTAAAGCTTGTAGGAGGAGTTTTCATTCTCCTCTTACTGCCCCAGGAGGCTGCAAAACCCTTTGTGTCTTGTGACTTCAGCAAAGCACTGGTTAAAGCTTGTAGAAGGAGTTTTCTTTCTGCTCTAGGAGGATGCAAAACCCTTGACCCTCTGTCTGGACAGTACTGATCGGCCCTTTGCCAATCACATGCACTCTCCAAAGAAAACAAAAAAAAACTCTAGCAGTACAAACCAAATTGAGCATGTGACTCCTAGAGCTCTCTGCTATCAGCAGATGGATTGGAAACAGAAGAAGAAGGGAAGGATCAGAGAAGACAGGATCATACAGCCTTTTTATATAATGTGGAGGAGGTAAAAACCTTCTGTGTGCATCAGCTAACTCCCCCCCGGCCAAGGGCTCCCACTGCTGTCAATCACAGCTAGTGAGCCAATGAGGAGAGAGGGGGCGGGGCAAAACCTTGGCTCTGCTTGTGCATGGACATGCAGAGCATTGGCTCAGGAGAGAGCTTGCTTGGGTGCCCTCAGAGCAAGCTGCTTACCTAGGGGCACTCAGAAGGATGGAGGGGCGCTAGGAGCGCCAGCAGGGGACCTGAGAAGGATCGGGCTGCTCTGCACAAAACCACTGCACAGAGCAGGTAAGTATGACATGTTTGTTCTTCGTTTTATTTGCCCTTAATATCACTTGAGTGCTGGCTGCATCTCCCCCCACAAACACCAATAAACTGGGCTTCAGACTTGGGTGGAGGGTAAGGCCAGCACTCAAAGAAAGAAGAGCTTTTAATCCACAACCAGGTCACCAAACAGAACTGACCAAGCGCTATATCCACATTTTGGTGGACAAAACTTCTGGTGAGAGTTCTTTAAGACAAGCCTGGGGCCTCATTTTAGAATTTGAAAATCTAATACTGGGTTTTCTACAGCCACTAACATTTTTTTTATATTATCAGTGTGCAAGATAAAAGGTTTTTCGTTTTCTGGCAAGTCATATATTCGTATATCTGAATTGGCTCTGTGGTCAGGGTTAACAATTAACTGTACATTTTTTAAACTACCCCTAAAAACAGCATTTTATATTTGACTGCACTTACCTTTCCAAAAGAACCTTGTCCAAGTACTTTCAAAAGGACAAAGTGCGACTGATCAGCCTTCTCAGAGCCTTCTTTGACATGGTGAGTAATATCGATTTCCTTTACTACCACCTCATCCTGCATTAAAAGAAAATAAAAAAATAAGCAGTTGCTTTAGTGGAAGTGAAAGTAAGGGTGAAATGTACTGGTCCAAGGTACCAATAGAGTGTTGCCTGGGACTGGCCACCAACTGAATAGGCAGTAACATTTACAATGTTATAAAACGATAGCAAATGTCCAATTACAAACAGGCCCTGACGTTTCCACACTACCTTTAAACACTTAGCAAATTGTCTAGTAATTAGGCTTGTTATCAGTTTGTGGTAAGCCTCAAATCACACCTGCCTAGCATGTCATCTATTATAAATATAGAAAAATTAAAATACATAACTGAATTCTACTGTACTGTGCATCCAAATTAAAAAAAAAAAAAAAAACAAGACAAGTAATAATGTGTTAGACATAGTACATTTAAAAAAGCAAAATATGAAGAAATAAGCAGTTTTATCTGCTTTCCTTAAATCTACTAGCAGCATATTAGGTTATACATAAAACACATCTGCACACCACAAGGAAATATCTTTAAAGTAAATTTAGGCATCACACACCTCTTCTCAAAAACACAGGAAGTGGTAAATACATGAACCAGTGCATACAGCAACTTAAATACATAACTTTCCATAGTTAGAATGAATTTTATCATTTTATTAGTCCACTTTTGCAGACCAGCCTTTAGGTTGATAACGTGGTGATGCTACATTAGCAAAAAAGTCCTGCTACTAACCTCATTGGTGTGTTGGTCTGTATCGGGTAGTGGAGGACATCGAGGTTTGTCCCTGTGTTTTTTTTGTATCCAAACAGAAAAGAAGGTCAAAAATCCGGGAATCCTAACCTCCTTCTCCATGGGCCCAATGCCCACATCGAGGACAGTAAGTGCAGGAAGAAAGATTTTCTTGAAAATCTTTAAACCTTATTTACACTCTTGTCAATTTCTTTCTGAAGAAACTGAAAGCAGCTTCTGATACTTAAGAGTCTGATTAAGCTTCCGCTACCTCAACCTCAACAGCAAAGAGATTATGTGAACCAATGAGATGACACACTACATTGAACATCCTCTTCCATTACCAGTACATGGCCCTATTTATTAATAACTTGCAAAACAGCAGTGCTACTTCCTCACTGGTTTTCTGATAGAATCTTTAGTGATCCCTATATAGCCAAGGAAAATAAGTACAGCTGAAAAATGGAGAAACTAATAAAGGAAAGCAGTGAATGAATTTGAAACAAAAAAAAAAAAAAAGAAGAAGAAGTAGGAAAATAGAATCTCAGGTAATTTTCTAGCAGATTGCCTTACAGTAAAGTGATAAGTTATTTATGTAGGGTGTGTGTGAGAGATATCTAAATTGAGTAATATATGTTTAAACAAGATGTTATTTAATTTGGAAAAAAAAATGTATCACTGAATAATCTTTTATAATTGCACTGAAAAGCAAAAACAAAAATGGTACACTAAAAATGCCCAGTGGAATATAAATCATACACACAAGAGCTGGTAAGCGGGCTGCCGGACCTCTTGAGAATGTCCATTTGAGACAAACGTGCGTCAGATCAGAACCTGTGCTGAAGTCATCGAAATGAGTGGTGCTGCATACCTTTTTGACAAGTTTATCATATTGCAAAGATTTTAAGTAGATACACAGCTATTTCTTTAATAAACCTAACAGTTTTACACTATTGGAGGCATTTATGTTTCCTTTGCCGGATTTTCCTCAGTAGAGCTAAAGAGGATATACAAATCTGTCTCCTGTTGGTATGCCCTATGGTTCCCAATGGTTGAATGATCCATCATTACAAGGCTCAGGCACTTCTGAGCTTTTACAGACCACCTATAATTTGGGGTCTTTTGATCTGGTAAGAGGCTCTGTATGTTTTGGTGGTGGGATTCACTGGTGGCATTCCAAATAAGGATTCTTTTGGATGGACTCAAAAGGACTATTCATATTTAACACATCAATTTATTTTGAATTTGTTTTCACTAACGGTATCAGTGATATTTTATTAGTACAGTGAATATAAAAAGTCTACACACCCCTGTTAAAATGTTAGGTTTCTGTGATGTAAAAAAATGAAACAAAGATAAATCATTTCAGGACCTTTTCCACCTTTAGGCTCCATGCACACGGGGCGTTTTAAGAACGCTGGTAACGTTAGCTGTGTAAAGTCACGTTAAAAATGTGAGTTTTTCAGCGGTTTTTAGCATTCTTCCATTAGTGTTTAGCGGCATTTTGCCAGTCAAAAAAAAAAAAGTCCAAAAACGTTGGTTTGCCACCATTTACCACGTTTTTCACTGTTAGAGAGTTTTTTCAGCTAAAAAACTCCTCTAGAAACCCACTAGTCCTGGGTTTTTTTTCCAGTCAAAAAATGTTGATTACAGCCTATGTGTGCATGGACACATAGGATAAATTGCCGGGGAGTTTACTGGCTGTAGAAAAAAACGTCAAAAGCCAAAAACAGCAGCTGTAAAAACGTCTAGTGTGCATGAGAACTTAATGTGACCTATAAACTGTACAACTCAGTTGAACAACAAACTGAAATCTTTTAGGTGGAGGGAAGTAAAAATTAAAAAAACTAAAAATATATTTTTGCATAAGTGTGCACACCCTTAAATACTTTGTTGAAGCACCTTTTGATTTTATTACAGCACTCAAGTATTTTTGGGTATGAATCTATCAGCCTGGAACATCTTGACTTGGCAATATTTGCCCACTCTTCCTTGCAAAAACACTCCAAATCTGTCAGATTGTGAGGGCATCTCCTGTGCACAGCCCTCTTCAGAACACCCCACAGATTTTCGATCGGATTCAGGTCTGGGCTCTGGCTGGTCCATTCCAAAACTTTAATCTTCTGGTGAATCCATTCCTTTATTGATTTGGAAGTATGCTTTGGGTCGTTCTCATGCTGAAAGATGAAGTTCCTCTTCATGTTTAGCTTTCTAGCAGAAGTCTGAAAGTTTTTGTGTGAATATTGACTGGTATTTGGAACTGTTCATAATTCCCTCTAAATTGACTAAGGCCCCAGTTCAAACTGAAGAAAAACAGCCCCAAAGCATGATGCTGCTGCCACCACCATGCTTCACTGTGGGTATGGTGTTCATTTGGTCATGTGCAGTGTTGTTTTTGCGCCAAACATATCCTTTGGAATTATGGCCAAAAAGTTCAACCTTGGTTTCATCAGACCATAACACATTTTCCCTCATGCTTTTGGGAGACTTCAGATGTGTTTTTGTGAAATTTAGCCGGGCTTGGATGTTCTTCTTCCTAAGAAAAGGCTTCCGTCTTGCCACTCTACCCAATAGCCCAGACATATGAAGAATAAGGGAGATTGTTGTCACATGTACCACACAGCCAGTGCTTGCCAGATATCCCTGCAGCTACTTTGATGTTGCTGTAGGCCTCTTGGCAGCCTCCCAGACCAGTTTTCTTCTCGTCTTTTCATCAGTTTTGGAGGAATGTCCAGTTCTTGGTAATGTCACTGTTGTGCCATATTTTCTCCACTTTATGATCACTGTCATCACTGTGTTCCATGTGATGCCTTGTAAATTATTTTGTACACTTTTCCTGACTGATACCTTTTACCAGTGAGATCCCTCTGATGCTTTGGAAGCTCTCTGCGGACCATGGCTTTTGTTGTAGGAAGCGACTAAGAAAATGTCAGGAAAGACCTACCAGAACAGCTGAATTTTATTTGGAGATAATCAGAGGCACTTTAAATGATGGCAGGTATGTACTGACTCCTTATTTAACATGATTTTGAATGTGATTTCTTAATTCTGAACACAGATACATTTCTATTTATAAGAGGGTGTGCACAATTCTGCAACCACATTATTTTAGTTTTTTACTTTTACTCCTAAACTACCGGGAACAAGATATGCTGACGGCCGTGCGGAATTCACCTAAGGTTTCCTTTGAAAATGCTAAGATTTCTCTGTATCCTGATTATTCCTCTGAAGTGTAGCAATGCCAGTGCTCTTTCATTGAGATTTGCAAACGTCTCCGAGAGTGTGGCCTGAAGTACAGCTTCTTATACCCGAGCATACTTTAGATCCTAGATGGCGGTACCACCAGAAATTTTGATACTCCTACTGCGGTGGACACTTGGCTGGACAACTGCTAGGGCATTGGATTCCAAGAGTCCTGTAAATTCTCGGTTTTCTTTTCCCCTTATTCCCCTTGCCTTCTCTACACTCCTTACCCTGTTTGGACCTCTCTTCTGTGCCCTTCGTCTTTCATCCAACTCTGTTACATAATTGGAGTTTCTCTCTCTTATTCTGAGCTGGAGGCTATCCTTCATGTACTAAATTTGGAGAAACCCATATTGGAACTGTACCGATACCTTCTTGTGGCGGGCCAGCCCTGAATTGGCACCGCGACAACAGAAATGGAGAGTGAATATCCCTAGTATGGGTGATGACTGGTCTGAGATTTGGGATTCTCCCTTTTATCTCCTAGTCTCTGCCAGAGATAAATACAATTTAAAATTCTACTCCGGCTGCATAGAATGAACCCTTTCCTTCCTCCAACATGTTGGCGTTGTTCACATCATACTGAGGAATTCTTTCATATATTTTGGTCTTACCCTGCTATTGTGCCATTTTGGCAGGAAGTGTTACAAACAACTGGAGATATAGCACAAATTACAGTACCCCTTGACCCGAAGTATTGCCTAATAGAGCTGGTAGAACCCTTAGCTCCCGCAGTGGCTAAACGCACCCTCCTTAATACACTTATTTTATGCACGTAAAACAATTACTTTGTGCTGGAAGAAACCCTCTCCTCCTACAATAACTTTCTGGAAACATTTAGTAAATTCCAAACTGCCTCTATATCAAACTACCTATGCTAATAGAGGATGCCCCTGTAAATTTCACAAAATCTTGTCTTGCTGGCAAGATAATGCCTCCACCACCACCATGGCAGATGATAGGAGGAATTAGAATTGTATGTAGTTATTTGCTGTGTTTTCTCTTACTTGTAAAGGGTACCTTCCTTGTTTTCGGGGTCTCTACATTT